CACCCTCTCACCGTGACATATGCCCACCGAGAAGATATGAAAGGCCCGTACGTAAGCATCTTCCCCGCACCCGTTATCGTCGATGGATAGATAACGTCACGGCGACGCTCCTCGTTCACCCTCCTACCCTGACATATGCCACTGACAAGGCATGAAAGGCCCGCACCTAAGCATCCTCCCCGCATCCATTACACTCCCATTCAACAGACGGACACCCTTCCTCACACCTTCGTTACGCTTGGGAGTCCAAACAGGAGCTCCCAAGACCACCCGCCGGCTCCCCAACCTCGCCCTCCCTTTTTCGATCCCTTCCTGTGCCTTCCTTTGTATAGGCAATACGGTGCTAGTAAAATGCATATCGACATACATAACACGCGAGAATACCGAACTCCTTTCGCGCACTTCATAGCAGAGGTGGTGGATCCCGGATGGATAGATAAGCTCACCTTTTTGAACACGCAGCTCTCCAGGTGTTTGTTTCTTCACAGTCCCTTTCCCATTCGCGTTTTGCGCCTCTTTCTGTTTCTGTTTGATGCTGAATAAACCGATCATAATGATGATTATGGCGAATCACACGCAGAGAAAGCCACCCAGCCTTCTGACTACGCCCGTTCTACGAGAGGCGAGTTGAGAAATACAGCCAAGCACCGTCCGACATCAAAAATTAGCATTCACGCTCTCTCCTCGACTACACCATCGACCACGCACCCCTCCCCTGATTCAGCATTGTAAGACAATCCACCCACCTGTCTTCCCTCGCCCTGGCTCTCAACACGCATCCCTGAGTTCAAAAACAGACGATGAAGACGAAAACACAGAAGCGCGGAACCACTCCAACGTCCAATCAAACAGTCGTTGACGAACCTCAATCGACCATCAATTGCTTTGGATGCGAACGAGGGACGAGAGTTCCAGCAACAAACAGCGCGGAACGACCGTCTAGACGAAGAACGAAGCGCAAATAATTGAAACGCGGCAGGGCGAGCACGTCCGGTCAGCCAACATGTTTAGACCTCCTCTGTGATATTCCGTGCGAATGGGTCGGTCGTTGGAGAGCTGTCCGACTCTCCAGGAACGTGAAAATCCCGTCACCGCTGCACTTACGGTACGGTTGGATCCCACCCCACGACCCAAACCAACGCTCTGCAAATGCGGCCTGTTACCTGCAAATCCGCCCTCCTTTCGCGAGAATTGCATCTGTACCCCACAAATGCCCGCTATACCCAGTCCGAGTGCAAACTTGCATCTATACCCTCCGCTACGTCAGGCCCCCACCTCCCACGACCCGTAACTCGACCTTTCCTTAGCCGACAACTACCGGTAGTTTTGCCACAGACATTTTAAAAAAAGAAGGACGAAAAAGGAAAAAACGGGACGAGAAAAAGAAAAGAACAATTTTCGATATGCCCCTCAAAGTTCTTTTTATTTGCATAGCACCCCTCTAACGGCTGACTTACCCTGCAGCGCCCCTCTGCAAGAGAATGAAGTGAAGTCTGAAAAACCCCTGGTGTCGTTTGGGCCTGAAATATTATGTTCACTATGCCCCTATCCGTACCGGTTCCAAATTTCTAGTATGGCCCGGTAACTCCCCTCCCAGAGCCAGGGGAACGACCGCGTGTGCCACCGACGGCCACAGGGGCATGCTGGAAAGTTTCTCCCCGCACAGAGAGGGGCCTGCAGGACAGTCCAGAGACCCCAGAGAAGGGTAAGCCGTCGGAGGGGCATGGTGCAATTTCGAGCCCCGGCCGCGGGGCCCTGGCGGGGGTCCGGGGGTCCGGGGGTCCGGGGGTGGGCACCCCCAACCCCGGCTCCGGACCCCTCCCCCCTCGAAAACAATAATAATAATAAAAAAAAAAAAACAAAGAAAAACAAAAATAGTGGGGGGTGCGTGCCGTGGGCTAAACCCCAAAAATGGGTTTTTTGTGCCCCACCCCGGACCCCCCCCGGGGCCAAACCCACCACTGGGGGAACCGGGGTAGCTGCGGGTGCGGGGCTGGGGGCGGTGCCAACAACCGGCGGGGGCGGGGTTGAGTGCTGG